CTGACTTATAAGAAGTACTGTTTGAATATCAAGCAAAAAGTGGCTGCTAGAAATAGTATCATATGAAAGCTGACTGGCACAACCTGGGGATCATAACCAGACACCTGCCCTTGCGCTTTGCTACTCTGCTGCTGTATATGCATGCTCAGTGTGGAATACATCTCACCACGCTAAAACAATGGATGTGGCTCTTAATGAGAGATGCAGCATGATCACAGGATGTCTACACCTAACACTGCTTGAGAAATTATACTGTTTAGGTGGTATTGCACCACCTGACATTCGTCGGGTAGTAGCAGCCAGTAATGAAAGGACCAAGGCATTGACATCTCCGGCCCATCCTCTGTTCGGATATCAGCCAGCATGGTTTCCAACATTATAAAGGCAAAATTAAATGCCGTACATACATGTGAAAACCAAATGATAATAACATAACTATAGATTAACCTAACCAAATTAAAGCATAATTATAAAATAACATTTAGACATAAAGCATTAAAAAATAAACATCGATAATACAATAACATTTACATTAAAACCCACTGATAAACAACATGATTTAAAAACAGTTATTAAAATCACGCCATCTAAAATAAAGTCTGTAGTCATTCCATTGGTCCATTCCTTATTATTTTATTGCACTATGAGCTTTGCTGTCCGAAAGCTTGGTCGCAATTGTGAGGGTGGTAGGATCAAGAGTAGGGCCTCCCCGGATGATCTTAACCTCCTTGATGGTTCATAGAGGGAGATACGTTTGGACAGGTAAACTGGATCGAAACCATTTAGGGCTTTATAGGCTAAAGCCAGCACTTTGAATTGTGCTCAGTAGCAGACTGGCAGCCAGTGGAGCTGGTGTAACCGGGGGGGGGGGGGGGGGGGGGGACCCCGCTCCAGTGAGCAATCTGGCTGCTGCTCATTGGACTAGTTGAAGCTTCTGTGCAGACTTCAGAGGCAATTCCATGTAAAGTGTGTTGCAGTAATCTATTTGGGATGTAACAAGAGCATGGACTACCATGGCTAAGTCATACTTCCCAAGGTATGGGCCCAGCTGGCGGACAAGTTTTAATTGTGCAAAAGCTCCCCTAGCCACTGCCGAGACCTGTGGTTCCAGACTCAACTATGAGTCTAGGAACACTCCAAAGCTGTAAACCTGTGTCTTCAGGGGGAGTGTAACCCCATCCAGCACAAGCTGTAACCCTATACCCTGTTCAGCCTTATGGCTGACCTGGAGTTACTCTGTCTTCTATGGATTCAGTTTCAATTTGTTAGCCCTCATCCAGACCATCACAGCTGCCAAGCACTGGTTCAAGACCTGAATAGCCTCTTTAGTAGCAGGTGGAAAGGACATCCAACCCCCAAACTCCGGATAATCTCTCTCAATGGCTTCATGTAAATGTTAAACAACACCAGGGTAAGGGGGGGGGGGCAGTACTGATCCCTGCACGACCCCACAAGTCAATGGTTGAATGGTCGAGCAGGTGTCCCCCAACAACACCTTCTGGGAACGACTCTCCAGGAAGGACCGAAGCCACTGCAATACAGTACCTCCAAGTTCCATCCCCGCAAGGCATCCCAGAAGGATACTGTGGTTAACGGCCGCTGAGAGGTCCAGGAGAATCAACAGGGACACATTCCCTGTTTCTCATCCAGTTTCCTACGCAGATCATCCACTAAGGCGACCAAGCTTGTTTCAGTTCTGTATCATGGCCTAAAGCTAGACTATATATGTATCTCAGTGCATATGTGTGTGCATAGAGTATCTTGAAGTGAAAATGTTATATGCATGCAGCTAAATATGAATCTCTGTGTCTATATGTACATGTGTGTGTGTTATATATACACACACACACACACACACACTACCCATCCTGCCACACGTTGCTATGACCAACCTTCCCTCCTTCATTCTCTCCTCCCTTCTTTCCCTCCTTCCTTCCTTCCCTCCCTCTTTCCTTCCTTCCTCCCTTCCTTCCTTATTTTTCATTATCTTCTTCCTTGTCTTCTTTTCCCCTCCATCCCCCCAATCTTTTCTTTCTCTTCCTCTTGCTCCCCTTTCTTCCTTCTCTACCTATTCTTGGACTGCAACTCTCAGCAGTCCTCCTGATCGATCTATTTACCTACCTACTTATCTCTATCTAATCTATTTATCTGGAGGATTGCTGGGAGTTGCAGTCCAGGAATAGGAAATATGCAGGGATTGGGATGCTCTCAAAAGAAATCCAAGGAGAAGAAAGCTTACATCTTGGAAGCAGAGCATTTGGATCATCCTCCTCTCCTAAAGGGTCTGGTTTAGGGGATGCTGGGAGCTGTAGTCTGGAAGAGAGTGTGGATATTCTATTGTGTATTTTGTTTGTCAGGGGGAGTCATTTTGCATATGTGATGTAGCGTCTTTCTGCTTTTTTTGGCTTTTTTAAGTCCCTCCTGCTGTGTTTTTCAGTGTTTTTAGAAGTGATCGTCACTTGTTGGCCTGATAGGGGCATTGTGTCCAAATTTGGTGTCAATTCGTCCAGTAGTTTTTGAGTTATGTTAATCCCACAAACGAACATTACACACACACACACACACACACACATATATAAGTAATTTATTTACGACATTTATATGCCGCCCTGAAGGGAACTCAGAGGGACTTACAATATATATATATACATACAATATATTATATTATTAGCATAGTACAATATCATATATTACTATATTGTACTATACCGTTATATTGTAATACTACCCGTCCCCTGCCACGCATTGCTGTGACCCAGTCTGTGTAAATGTGTTTTGTGTGTCTATATATGTGTATATTTGTATATATGTGGTTTTGTTCATGCATTAAAATGGGATTTTTTATTTTTTTGCTTTTTAAGTCTCTTCTGCTGTGTTTTTCAGTGTTTCTATGGGTGATGGTCACTCATTGGCCTGATAGGTGTATTGCAGGCCCGTAGCCAGGATTTCGAT